TACTGACTACGAAAAGGCAAAATTATGGAGACCTCGGAACAAGATTGTATGTTTACTGAGGTAACTATTCTCAGTTGTTGTTGAATTATTGACTGAAGCAATCTTAATGAGACAATTTTCACTTGTGACTCGTTCTTGCAAAACCTGAAGGTTCTTGTAGGCCAAGGCAAGTAAAAAACTAGTGCACTTTAGACCATGGAAACGGTGTATAACTGCTCAAAATGTTTGTTTAATCAATTTTGATACAGTTGCATTTCTACACTGGATGGGGTGTTTTGCAAATGAATTTCCTAAAATTGCAGAAAGCAACCAAATTTTCATTTGTTTTTGAGACCTTTCAATAATGTATTTCCTTAAAATAATGTCTTTCCAATATATCTCTGGCAAACAGTTGAATTGCCACATCTAGATTCAATTTCAATATGGGAAAAAGTGCTACAGATATTTTATTATAAATGATACTTAAAAACCGTTTGCGTTCTTTTCTTGAAGGTTTTCCGAAGACGTCTTCTGGCAGAAACATCTTGGAGGACATTGGCCAAGAAGGAGGTACAAACTACATGAGGCTACAACATGAAGCTTCACTCTAACCTATGATGTCTACTTTTGGAACTTTTTCATTTCTCTCAAAATGCTTCTCAATTTGGAAAGGCCTTTGTCTATAAAACTAGGAAACAGTCAAAATCAGGCACAACTGAACCCCCCCCCCAATGTTATCATCTTTGCCCAAATATTCAAAACTGATTGGTAATGAGTGATATAAAATGTTTGACCACAAATCTCGGTAAAATGTAAAGTTAACCCCTTGTCATTTTTTGGCCAATTTTGCATTGAAAGTGAAATTGCTGCAAACTCGCAGTGAAGATGCTCAACCTGAAGCACGTTTCTACACGTCTCCTTGATAGATAGGACAAAATCAATCAGTAATGAAATGTTTCTTCAAAAATCATTTACTTTTGTGCAATACATTCAAGTTGTTTATTGATGAATACTTAATGAATCTCCTCATGCATCAACAGGGATTTCCGTGTCGTTTGTAAGAAAGTAACCCTTTGATAAATTTAGTGGAAAATGTAAGGTTAACCCCTTGCTATTTATAATTAAATTTTGCTACAAATCGCCTTGTCTTTATTTTAACCTGATATCAGAGGTGTCCTTGCTCACGTTTTGTAACCTTTGGAAAAGGCACGTTATAAATTATTATTACCTGTTGAAGATAAACATGTTTTTCTTCTCCAATATCTGATTAATTCAGAGATTCAATAAAACAAATATGGTGAAAAAACAAGTATATTTTGTACTGATATTCATTTGGCGTATTCTGAATGACAAGTTTATTTCGTCAAAGTTACTTGTATGACATTCTTAATTCTTTTACCAACGGAAGTTGAAAACAAGTTTACTTATTGGTGTGTCAGAAGTTGAGTTATGCTACAAAACATGTACTTGTCCGTGTAAAATTTAAATCTACGTATTTTTATCCGACTTTATTTAATGAGTAAGATATTGAATAACAGCTGTTGAACTGTTTTTATTTAATGTTGAGAAACAAGTACTGGAATAAATACAGTAAAACTGATTTAAAGCCAATCTTTGGAGTCTTTATTATGACTGAATAATACAGTGAATTTAGCTCAAGGGGTGGTTGGGTTGAAAGACTTGGAACACTGTTGATTGCCCTGGGAACAAGGTTTATGCCCTGGGAATGAGGTTGATACCCTGGGAAGGAGGTTAACAGCCCTGGGAACAAGGTTGATGCCCTGGGAAGGAGGTTAACAGCCCTGGGAGCAAGGTTGGTGCCCTGGGAAGGAGGTTAACAGCCCTGGGAACAAGGTTGATGCCCTGGGAAGGAGGTTAATAGCCCTGGGAACAAGGTTGATGCCACTGGGGATGAGGATAAAATGGACTAAAATATACAAACTTGTTCAAAACTCGTTTTTAAATTCAATCATTTATTTGTACCATAACGCTTGTATAAACCAGATAAAGAATTTAAAAACTGTTATCTTGCATTAATAAGTTTTTCTAAGTTGTTTGCAGAAAAGTCATTTTTGGCCCAATTTAACGAAAAATGTAAGGTTAACCCCTTGCAATTTTTTTCAATTTTGGCCGAAAAATAAAGTTACATAAAATTACACTAAAGATACCCAAGGGTCACTTAAAGGGAATATACAACATTTGCAAACATCGAAAAATAAAACTACCAAGTTTTTACAAAATACCTTACCAAATTTCGGTAAAAATGTAAGGCTTACCCCTTTTTTTTTTCAATTTTGGCCAAATAATAAAGTTGCTTAAAAATTACACGAAAGATGCCCAAGGGTCCCTTAAACACATTCCTACACATTTCCTTGACAAAAAGTGCCATTTAGAAGAAAGAATGCATCAATATTTTAAGCAAAATAAGTCCAAAATAAAAAATTTTGACCAAAAACTGGATTATTTTTGCCCAATTTCTCAAAATTTTCAATGTTTGAATACTGAAATGTGTTCCTGGTGCATCAAAAAGTATTTCTGAGTCGTTTACAGAAAAGTCAATTTTTGGCCAAATTTCGGTAAAAATGTAAGGCTAACCCCTTGTTTTTTTTTCAATTTTGGCCAAAAAATAAAGTTGCTTAAAAATTACACGAAAGATGCCCAAGGGTCCCTTAAACACATTCCTACACATTTCCTGGACAAAAAGTGCCATTTAGAAGAAAGAATGCATCAATATTTTAAGCAAAATAAGTCCAAAATGATAATTTTTGACCAAAAACTGGATTATTTTTGCCCAATTTCTCAAAATTCTCAATGTTTGAATACTGAAATGTGTTCCTGGTGCATCAAGAGGTATTTCTGAGTCGATTAGAGAAAAGTCAATTTTTGGCCAAATTTCGGTAAAAATGTAAGGCTAACCCCTTTTTTTTTCAATTTTGGCCAAAAAATAAAGTTGCTTAAAAATTACACGAAAGATGCCCAAGGGTCCCTTAAACACATTCCTACACATTTCCTTGACAAAAAGTGCCATTTAGAAGAAAGAATGCATCAATATTTTAAGCAAAATAAGTCCAAAATGATAATTTTTGACCAAAAACTGGATTATTTTTGCCCAATTTCTCAAAATTCTCAATGTTTGAATACTGAAATGTGTTCCTGGTGCATCAAGAGGTATTTCTGAGTCAATTAGAGAAAAGTCAATTTTTGGCCAAATTTCGGTAAAAATGTAAGGCTAACCCCTTTTTTTTTTTCAATTTTGGTTAAAAAATAAAGTTGCTCAAAAATCACACGAAAGATGCCCAAGGGTCCCTTAAACACATTCCTACACATTTCCTGGACAAAAAGTGCCATTTAGAAGAAAGAATGCATCAATATTTTAAGCAAAATAAGTCCAAAATGATAATTTTTGACCAAAAACTGGATTATTTTTGCCCAATTTCTCAAAATTCTCAATGTTTGAATACTGAAATGTGTTCCTGGTGCATCAAGAGGTATTTCTGAGTCGATTAGAGAAAAGTCAATTTTTGGCCAAATTTCGGTAAAAATGTAAGGCTAACCCCTTGTTTTTTTTTCAATTTTGGCCCAAAAATAAAGTTGCTCAAAAATCACACAAAAGATGCCCAAGGGTCCCTTAAACACATTCCTACACATTTCCTGGACAAAAAGTGCCATTTAGAAGAAAGAATGCATCAATATTTTAAGCAAAATAAGTCCAAAATGAAAATTTTTGACCAAAAACTGGATTATTTTTGCCCAATTTCTCAAAATTTCGATGTTTGAATACTGAAATGTGTTCCTGGTGCATCAAAAAGTATTTCTGAGTCGTTTACAGAAAAGTCCATTTTTGGCCAAATTTCGGTAAAAATGTAAGGCTAACCCCTTTTTTTTTCAATTTTGGCCAAAAAATAAAGTTGCTTAAAAATTACACGAAAGATGCCCAAGGGTCCCTTAAACACATTCCTACACATTTCCTGGACAAAAAGTGCCATTTAGAAGAAAGAATGCATCAATATTTTAAGCAAAATAAGTCCAAAATGATAATTTTTGACCAAAAACTGGATTATTTTTGCCCAATTTCTCAAAATTCTCAATGTTTGAATACTGAAATGTGTTCCTGGTGCATCAAGAGGTATTTCTGAGTCGATTAGAGAAAAGTCAATTTTTGGCCAAATTTCGGTAAAAATGTAAGGCTAACCCTTTTTTTTTTCAATTTTGGCCAAAAAATAAAGTTGCTTAAAAATTACACGAAAGATGCCCAAGGGTCCCTTAAACACATTCCTACACATTTCCTGGACAAAAAGTGCCATTTAGAAGAAAGAATGCATCAATATTTTAAGCAAAATAAGTCCAAAATGATAATTTTTGACCAAAAACTGGATTATTTTTGCCCAATTTCTCAAAATTCTCAATGTTTGAATACTGAAATGTGTTCCTGGTGCATCAAGAGGTATTTCTGATTCTTTAACAGAAAAGTCATTTTGGGGCCAAATTTCAGTAAAAATGTAAGGCTAACCCCTTGTTTTTTTTTTCAATTTTGGTCAAAAACAAAGTTGCTCAAAAATTACACGAAAGACACCCAAGGGTCCCTTAAACACATTCCTACACATTTTCTGGACAAAAAGTGCCATTTAGAAGAAAGAATGCATCAATATTTTAAGCAAAATAAGTCATAAATGATAATTTTTGACCAAAAACTGGATTATTTTTGCCCAATTTCTCAAAATTCTCAATGTTTGAATACTGAAATGTGTTCCTGGTGCATCAAGAGGCATTTCTGAGTCGTTTAGAGAAAAAAAAAACCATTGCCTATTGAGAAATAATTTGCTTAATTTAGTGATGTCAAAATAGAAACAATCATCTCCATGTGCGTGCAACTGGTAAGCACAATTCAAAACGTACCATGACAATGGCATCTCTAGGTTCCATCTGAGAGTTTCGCCTTTTTGACAATATGGTACGTGGGTCTTAGCTGCTGTAGTCGTCTCTTCTTGGCTTCCTTCTTGTTCTGATGCTTCTTCTCTTTAGGTTTTGCTGCTTGGACTGGATCAGCAACAGCCTGAACATGAGAGGGGGGGGGGGGAGAACAAGACAATCAATGAATGAGGAAAACAGAGGAAAGGGGCAAAATCTGACTTAATCTTACGTCATGCAAGAGCGTTTTGGTAAGACATATGTGTCAACACACAGAACAATGAATACAACCAAACTGACCATCACAAATTTTCAACAGTGTTTCTGTGTATTGTCATTCACAAGTCTGATAGTTTTCTGCATCATTTAAAAGTTGAATTTAAATCACTTATTGAAAATTATTGCTGTGCTCTTTATTCTTCACAGTTCACAATTCACTTGGTTACAGTTTATTTGAATAGCTTGTGACTTGACTTGAGTCTGGATGACTTGTGATGACATGTGATGACTTGTGATGACTTGTGATGACTTGTGATGACTTGTGATGACTTGTGATGACTTATGATAACTTGTGATGACATGATATGACTTATGGTGACTTTAATATCATCATATTAAAGTCCTCACAAGTCAAGAGTCCCTTAAACACGTTCCTACATGTTTCCTGGACAAAAAGTGCCAGTCCAAAGAAATAATGCATAAATTGATATGACTTGTGACTGACTCGATTACAGCTCCTAGGAAAAGTGACTCTAATTTACCTGTAGCGCCCTCTGTTGTTTGCTTTGGATTCTGGTCTGTGTGATGACCCTTTGGACGTCAGCATAAGCATGAGAGAATGTCTCCAATCCCACAAGGCTCTTGATGAGATCCAATGCTTCCTGACAAAGCTGACGAAGATCGTTGTCTGGTGGAGAAATCAAGACAAGAAAGTCTGATTACTAAAAACCAATCAAGAAAAGCATCGCTGTAGATCCAGAAAACAACAATCGTACTTGTTCATTCACAATGAGAGTAATAACAAGAAGTATCAGTTTCTTTAACAGTCTCAGTGAATTGACACGAACTGTGCTATACATGATATCAGAAACTACTTCTAAAAGATTTAATCAGTGGCTTCTAAAATTTCAATTCATAATTTACACAGATCTCACTTTTTTTTATGGTTCAACACCTTATCAAATACAACAATATCCCTGAATGCATAGTGAATAATATAGTAAAATATTTTTAATGGTATAATTTTAATTTCCCCTTAAAAACATAAGAACTCAAAAGGCTGCTGAAGCTGCATTTCAAACTGTAAATGAATATTCAAATCCGACAAGGCAAACCATCTGATGTAATCGAACATTCAGAATGAAACCGTGCTAAAATTGACATTTTTCCAGCTTTTGTATTCACAAATCATGCTTCTTACTGTTTCTGTTTGACATTGTTCATTGTTTAAAATATTCCCTCAAAAACTAGTTCAGAAGAAATGTTCACACAATAGATGTGTCTCACCTGCGTGTGACTTTTGATCGCCGATCTCCCGACACATCGGCTTCATCATTAGCTTCAGATAACTGGGCAATCTGTCTCCTCCTACATCCATTGCCATGGCAGCAAGCCACTTGACAACACAAGTCCGTCTCAGGGTCTGTTTGGGTGTCTTGGCTGCCTCTGAGGCAGCGATGCGACACATCCTCCTCAAGAACCAAGTCAAGTCAGCGGGGCTCGGAGTCCGACGTCCAAGTCCTTGTTTGTCCGTGTTGGTGGTATTCTGCTCTGCAGAGAGCTTGGGAGTCCTTTCATCATTTTCATCATCGTTTTCATCTTCACTGTCCGATCTCTCCTCCGTTTGGTAAATCTCAGTTTTATCCGGATACAAACGGTGGATGACTTTTCCCAAGGAACACAAGATTTCTCACAACCTGAAATGAATTCAGTCATCAGAATAATTCAATTATCATAATATTGTCAAAACACAAAACTGTCAGAAACTAACCAGGTATCTTGTTAATAAAAATGTGAAGACTCAAGAATCTACCTTCTTGGGCTGCAAACATTTCATGTTTTAATGAAAATTGACACGAATTAGATAAATGTCACATCAAAATCACAATGGTCCAAGACATAAAGTCGAGTCAATCATATTTAGGTTACATGTCAATCTCAAGTGAGTTCACGCATAAGACCAAAAGAACAATAAACCTAAATTACAATGCAAGTGCCCAAATTTGACTGAGAATTAGGCAGAAATATGCTCTCAAGTGCTTATGCTTGAAGTAGATAAATCCTAATGATTTCTTACCTGATCTCCAAGATCTTTGTTCAGCAAGGCCGACTGAAGCTGCTTGCAAAATGTAAAGACTAACTCCCTGACGATTTCCTGTCCATGGTTCAATGGATACTCCACCGCCTCCATTTTACCTGTGACTCCGCCCCTTTCTTTATCAGCCATCCTCTTGCGTTTTGTCTTCTTCCCCATCCGATTCTCATTGGCCGAGGTGTTAGTAGTCTAGGTACCAGATGCAGCTTTCAGCATGGTCCTGGCAATGATGTCTGGTTGTTTAGAAGCAAACAGGTCTCCAAAGAGCTGGGCCGAAACCAGACGCACCCAGGAGTGCGGATGGAGAAGATGAGATTGGATGGATCTGAAGAAATCAGAAAAGATCAAATTATTTCAAAGTGAATGAATTTTGGTTTATCCGTTGAGTTGGCATTGGGGTTTTGATTAAAACCCTCTGCACTGGTTAGTAGAATACTGGGGTTTCAGTTTTAGTCAAATAAACTTACGACTACTTGTTACATTTATTTTGTTTTTCAACAGCTTTTAGAAGGGTGCAAATAAATATAAATGATAAAATTTATTCAGATTCAGACAACCTAGAAAAACTATTCTGATTGTTTTTGCAGGTTCCACTAGCCAAGCTAACCAGTGCTGGCATTTACTACTGCTTTATCTCACTCCAAATCTTACCCCAGATTGCATTCAGGGTGTCTGTGTACGCCTTGTTGCCGATGATTGAACAGTGTTTAATCATCTTGGCTAACGCTGATAGCAAGTTGAACAACATGTGATCTGTATGTCTCTCCTCCATAGATGTATCATCTGTCTCCATCGCAGACATGCCATCCTGAGCAAGGACAAAATAAAGAGAAATTCATCATCGTAACCATTTTGTTGGGGGGGGGGGGGTAGGGAGGTTGACAGGAAACAGTGTGGGACCAGTGATTCTTACAAGCCGCACCAACTCATCAATTTCAAGAAGTTTTGAACCCTTACTCTACTTCAGCCTCCAAAAATAAATATTCACTTGAAGAGAATGCCCAATTCCACCTGTTTCCAGGGTGAGCTTTACTATGTGGGTGAATAGCCACATGGCAAGCAATGTCAAGGCAATCGTCTGCTAAGCCCACACCTACCTTCTGCAACCCATCTGGTTTGATATGTTCCTGTATCTGAGGAAGTATGTCATCCAACCGTCGCTGGATACCTGCCTCCTCGGCATCGACAAAGATGCCACAAAGCTGTGAGGAAAGACACTGATGGGCTGGATTGTTGTCATGGAGCCAGTGGGTTGCCATGGTGAAGAGTTCATCTCTCTTCTCTACCCATAACTGGAAACCAAAACAAATGACAAAAACAAAACATAAAAAGTAGGCCAAGAATTATGATAGGCCAATGAAATAAATAATAATCTGTATTCAATTTCTTCCAAATGATTAACAACCTGGCTATTTCTGACACAATTTGAGGAGAAAAATTTACACTGGTTGCTCTGAAGTTAATTTCCATTCAATGGACAATTCTTTTGTAGGTTGAGGTAGCTTGCTCCAGTGGTAACTCTATTGTCTGAATGGTGCCCTATATAATGACTTCATGAGTGAAAAAATAAAAATACTACACTGTATGGCATTCCAATTTTTATAATTTTTTTGGACATAATTAAAACATTATTTCTTTACCTTCTGCAGCAATGACCTGATGGCCAATGCAGTGATCTTGCGACATTTAGCTGATTCATCGTTGACTAGTCTTGTTGCCATGGGAATAAAAAACATTCCTGCATACGTCTCCAGTGTTTTCTGTATCAATAACACCAAAATGTAGATCTAAAAATCAAAGAATGTTTTTCAGTATTAAATTGTTTTAACTGATGCTCAGAGTATTAAACTCCAAATGTTAACAAAAATTGTTGAGCATTATCTTATTAATTATATTCAATATCCTAAGATAATAGGGAGGTTTCGCAAGCGAACGGATACGCTTACACTTATGTTACGTGCGGGGAACGCACGGCAGAAAGAAATAAGTTATAAAAACGGGAATCATGACTTTTGAATCAAAGGCAAAAAGAGACCAATATATGATTAACAAAATTTAATTAATTCTCCCAAATCAATCAACAGGACAGTGGGTGATACAAACATTCTCAGTTAGTCTTCAACTTTAAGCGTCATGCAAGAACCTCCAAGCATTAGACACAGGCAAAGCAACTTAAATTACAAAGAAATTAGCAAAGCAGCAATTTATACAAACAGGCAAAATAAAGTAAAGAACAAGCCGGCAAAATAGAGTTAATAAGCAAAACACACAAAAAAGGCAAATTGTATTCGGCCAAATATAATTACCAATAAGGAACCAGTAGCAGGAACAGGCCCCGCCCAGCCAGTGCCCACAACGGTATTAGCGCAGCCGTCGAACCAAGCATCTCCGCACCCAGCCGTAGATCAGCCAAGCCACAGGTAAGTCAGCGTTGAGCACCGGGAAGTCAGCCACATCAAGCAGGCCACGACAGTCCAGGTCTCCGTCCGATAGTACCGTCAGCCTCGGCCACGATCCAGCGATGAGGGGTACGTAGATCGGTAGGACAGCGGGAGATGCTGGCTCAACGACGCGCTAATGAAAGTCGCACATAATGGTTGTATATGGGCACCAACTGAGAGCGAATAAAAGCCAGTCAGTGCTTATATAGGGTATTTACCCGCGCGTAGCCACCATAACAAACATTAATTAAATACCGAAAATTCTAGTGCGGAAGCAACCGTACTAAAGGATTACAGATTAAGTGGGTTCGTAACACTTACGTTTAGCTATCCGTATCCGTTTTTTACTTACGTGTAGCGAGCGAGATATGCGTGTCGTCTGCACGTTTAGCGGATAGTGAGTGGCGTATGACGTCATACGTGCAGACGACACACATATTTCGCTCGCTACACGTAAGTAAAAAACGGATACGGATAGCTAAACGTAAGTGTAAGCGTATCTGTTCGCTTGCGAAACCTCCCTAATATTCCATTTTTTAGGTAATAGTATCACACCTCTGAGTTATGGAACATTAATTTAATATGAAACTTACAAGTCTAAATATGATGAATTGAGCTCATCAATAGAAAATTCCCCAAAAAGGAGGATTTCTGACCTGTGGGAATGATGAGAAGATAGTGGCCAGCATCTCCAGCGAGGATTCACGGCCAGTCTCAAGGTCAAAGTTCAACTGTCTGACATAGAACTCTAGGTGGCGCTTCAGTTTGTTCCAAGAGGGTAGTCCAGAAGGAAATTCAGTACAACCTGTGAAAGAAGAAACATGCAAGAAATATTGCTGGTTTGTGCAAAAGTGCAAAACATCAGAGTGCAAAATCAAAACTATTAGATTTTGCGATTGAGACATTTACTTGTATTCATTATTAGCTACATGTATCCTGCAAACTCGAGTGGAACAAGGTTAAAAAAAAATATAGGTTAACCAGTTTGCGTCGGATAACGTGTATACAACCAAAGATTTTGCGGTATTCGTAGCGGATGACAGATGAACAAGCAATGATAGCTGAGTCCTATAAATAAAGATGTCAAATTGGTTCAGAGAACTCTTGGAGTTTTTAAGAATAAATTATTGTTTCACTGAAGAAGAAGTGTCTTTGCTCCCTTATTAGTCCCATCCTTGTAGATAGGATAGGATGCCTGGTTATATATCTTTGATACAAACGAATCTGGGAAATATAAATTTATAGTGACTTGGCATCATTACATCTTGCAAGGTGACAGAAGAAAGTCCTGAATAGCGCCCTCTACCCCACCTCATCACCCGGCCGCAGCATTACATGACAAAAACAATGAAACAAGCCCATTGGTTTTACTTTAAACATGCCAGACCTTACTCCATATTTTTTATACAATTTCCTTAAAACATAAGTAGTGACTACATGTATCAAAGGTTATTAACCCTTACCCTACTAGACCCTCCAACGCATGCCAATATGTGCCTCAAGAAAATCTCCTATGTTTTTTGCATGGCCCTCCAATATCTGCCATGTCATTTCAAGGGTAACTGGACAGGCACTCCAATACATGCCACAGAGAACAATGAGAGTCCTCTGATAACAAAGTGAGTGCCCCCAGCTGGTCAGTATCAGGCACCCTCCAGGGCCTCCAACTCCTGCCAATTGGAGCCTTCACTGTTAAGACAAACTATCTGCCAATAAACTGCAGCTGGAGGGCATTGGCATAACCAACTGACATGCAGTAAACTACCCTCAGAGAGTAAGGGTTAATATCACTAAATCTGAAAATAAAAAGAAAACAAAAATCCCCCACTTGCATTATTGTCCATTCAGCCATAAAAAATCGTTGTGCGTCAATTTTGATCTGTTGAGTCAATTTCTTTTGTTCTTTAAAATTGTCTGTAGCTACAACAGTGCCCTTTAGTGCTGCACCGCCTCAAATATTTAGCACTAAGGAGCACAAGGGCACCAAGACAAATGATAGGGCACCAAGTCAAATGATGTAACACCATATGAGAACTCAAACAAACAAAGCAGTACCACTTTGCTATTTTTTCCCAAGCTTGGATGGTACAGACAAAGAATATTTTTTTAAATCACTACATCAAGTCCAGAACTTTGGTCTGACCAGAGACCTCACCCACTATTTTTTTTTTGCCTCACGGCCTGTGCGCAATTCTGTCTCATGCTGGATGAATGCCCCATACATGTAGAGTCCCCGATTTTCGGACTAGGCATGAACCAAGGACTCCTCAATTCATACTAGGATAACTGAGATTACAACTTGAAATAAAAAGGAATCAAACCAAACAAGCAGTAGGATCTGAACCAAAAATGTTTCAATTCATTCAAGGATAACTAAGGCTACACCTTGGAACAAAAGAGGAATCGAACCAAGGTCAAACCCATAGCCTACAGGACTCAAACTTGCTACTTACTTTATCATCAATGGTGTCAATCTAAGTTAGCACAGCTCCGTCAATCAGTGGAGGTCGATCCATGTCTCAATGGTGTGCTCGATTGATTGCCTGGTCCACTGCTTCGTTACCACCCAAATAACTCCCCAACCAAGAGAACTAACTTAGACTGGTTGATTTTTATCAGCTGTTTGAGCAAAAAATAACAGTAATCATAGGAAAATGAGACATTTTCTGCCTTTGTACAGTTCTCTCTTGAAGGCATTACTAGTGTTAAAAATTACCAACATTCCAAAAGGTGTCATTACATTGAGAGAAGTCTGCTTTAGGTTGACATCATTTTTTAGAAATATAAAGAAGAAATTGATTTGAATTTGATCAAAACAAAACAGGGGCCCTACACTATACACGATTGCCAAAATGATGATACTGATACCGGTACTTAAATCTGGGACTGCATGCACTGAGAAATAACATTCCCAATTGTGTTAGGAAAGTAACTCAGCATTTTTTTCTTGACTCTCATTCGTGTCCATAGACTTTATACACACACACACATATATTTTGATGTACCCTAACGTGGCATGGCCCCTAACGTGGCGCACTTTAATTTTTCGCATGTAGCGCCTACCTAGAGCAAAAGTTTTAACTGTTTCTGTGAAATTTCATCAAGTTCTAAACACTCCTGATCATAAATCGCGAGTTTATTTACCCGTAACAAAGTCAGAAGGAAAAATTATTTTGGCGTGATTTTCCGATTTTATTTTCAAGTGCAAAGTGAACCCTTTGAAAATGCCCTAAAAAATGAGAAAATAATTTTCTGACGAACATCTGGCTTGGTATGTACATGTAAACTTGTAGAGATAACAATTATTTATCAGAATTTAGGCCTATCAAGTTTACAGAAATTCTTAAGTGTTAATTTGGAATTTTCCAAGATTTATTCAAGTGCGCCACGTCAGGGAACACTCCGCCTATTTGTGCCCAATTTCCGGATGCCACCGTTTTTGAATTTCGGATTAAATTTTATGAAACCGAATTTGTTCACAGAGGTTAAATAGCAAGCATTAATAAGGTAAAAGTACTAGCATTTCACTGCATGAATTTGAGATTTGTCCACAAAGAGGTTTGGCAACAGTACACGAGGAAAGTCGGGTAAGCTTCGAAGTGCGCCATTTTAGGGAACACGACTATACCCATGTTAGTTTTACATATGCTATGTGGACATTCCTTTGTTTTTGTGTAGTTAAGAAAATTCGGTACAAAAAATAACTTTACTTAAACTGTGAAAACTCTCTCAACCCAATTTTTTTTCTATGATTCCCTATAGGCCATAGTGTTCTCTTCATTCTGCTTAGCCCCATAAATGTGGCCTATTTACTGGACTGCCTCCGTAAACATAGGCCACACATCCACATGTACAAAAATCGTGTCGACTTGGCCAAATTTTGATTTTCACATTTAGGCTTAGTTTGTAGGATTTGTTTACGTTAGAAGCATACTCACCCTCTTTATAGGCTAATCAGAAAGTGCTGCCTTTTTCAGATGTATATTTTTCGTGAAATTTCCAGATTCATTTTTACACGTTTGCGTATCAAAATTTCAACATGAAATTTCACAAAAATTTGATCTGAAAAAGGCAGCACTTTCTGACTAGCCTATAAAGAGGGTAAGTATGCTTCTAAAGCAAAAAAATCCTACAAACTAAGCCTAAATGTGAAAATCAAAATTTGGCCAAGTCGACACGATTTTTGTACATGTGGATGTCTGGCCTATGTTTACGGAGGCAGTCCAGTAAATAGGCCACATTTATGGGGCTACATTCTGCTAAGGATAAACCTAACCCAAAAATGCCTCTAGGCTCTAAACCTGTTTTCCAGAATGGGCAAAACGTTATGCGGACACGGCTTAGTCCACATAACGTCAACACAACCTGCATTATGTGGACATCTTTTGTTCACAAGTGAATGTAAAAACAAACTCAGACACACACACACACAATCGCAGAAGTGTCGTCAGGATGCAACATTTAGGCAAACACTGACATCAAGGGAATTTTTCTACCTTGGGATTATCTGCACCGCCGTCATGACATGCGAAATGATGCGATCGGCGATGACATTGGCTATGAGTATGGCTCATCCAACAACAACATAGGCCTAACAGAAGATGATCAAGCCCACGTGAAGGTTTGCTAGCTACACATGCCAGAACTTCAGAAGTAAACGCGAGTTCCAAAGACTCCTCAATATTCCAAAGGAACGGAGAGACAGAGGTTGTACACCATGTCTGCAGTCCTATGAATATTAGAAATATGATAATGAAATAAGAGCATGAAACTGGAGTGGGAGGGTCTCAACCAAAGACCCCATATTCACAAACGCAGAAAGGTAAACAAACTACACACCAAGCAAGACAGCTGCTGCGTGTTTGGCAATTAAACTGTGTTTGGCGCCCTCAATATTGAGGGCGCCAAACACGTTTCATTGACTGCACCAAACCATTGTGGTAGCAGACAAGTAAATAAACTTCCATAGACCCCAATGGTAAATGCTCCCACTTCAAAAATTCCGGAAAAATACTCACAACTCTCCAAGGTGTTGGAGACACACATCAAATTCAAACTTATTTCATCATCTTTCATTTTGTTTTCAATGTTCGGGGGGTCAACTGATGACTTTTAGGAGAAATTTCCATCTGAAGATGATCACCCCTGAAAATAGTCCTGAAGCCCATCGCCATTTTGAAAAACGATGCCTACACTCCATTGCAAAATAGAGCGCTTTTAGGGTCCAAATTACATCAAAATTACACAGAACTGCAAGCTCCCAGTCCTGTGCACGGCTTCCACCCATATTTTTTACAAACCCTCAACTTCATGGCCCACAGCATGCTCAAATACCGAAGATTTTGAGGGCATGCAAATCGTGATTTGGCCGGGCCGGCGCAGGCAATTTCGGACCGATTTACTGGTCTGCACCCTATAACACAGTCTCAGATCAATGGCACAAACCACCAAAGACATAAACGCACAAAAGAGCAAGCTGTGTAGAAAACATGTACCTACGTTTCCCCAAGAGCGGATCCAGAACACAAGTTTTTTGGGCAGGGCGAAAAAAAATTTGGTCCCCAAAAAGTGATTCCATTACGGCGTGGGGTTCGGGCCCTTAAGGCCTGTATTGTTACGGTCATAATATCTTGATTATTGGACGTTTTTTTATGATGAAATTAAATCTTTTGATGTCAAACATCATGACAAATGAGTGTGCGAAATTCAGTTTAATGTAACGTGTATTTCTTGAATTGTTGGCCCCAACTCGAGTTTGGTGGTGGAGATCGAAACCACTATAATAATAGAGGGCGCGCCACATAAATAGTGGTCTCAACAACGCATCAACACAGATGCTGCACAACTGAACAAAAAGAACTACCTCGTTTCCGATGAACTACTCAAGAAATACAAAATGGATTAAATTGAAATTTGGTGCAATTAGTTTTCACGATGTGTAGCATGAGTAGTTTGAATGGCGTGAGAAACCGTGGAGCTATAAATATAATATGATCGTAACAATCAAGTGTTTTAAACGTTAAAAATCCATGTTGACTTCCATTAGGATTGTACTTGTCGCAGATAAAACCCAACAGTGTTACGGTCATAATATCTTGATTATTGGACGTTTTTTTTATGAAATTAAATCTTTTGATGTCAAACATCATGAAAAATGAGTGTGCGAAAATTCAGTTTAATGTAATGTGTATTTTTTGAATTGTTGGCCCCCACTCGAGTTTGGTTGTGGAGATCGAGACCACTATAATAGAGGGCGCGCCACATAAATAGTGGTCTCAACAACGCATCAACACAGATGCTTCACAACTGAACAAAAAGAACAACCTCGTTTCCGATGAGCTACTCAAGAAATACAAAATGGATTAAACTGAAATTTGGTGCAATTAGTTTTCACGATGTGTTGCATAAGTAGTTTGAATGGCGTGAGAAACCGTGGAGCTATAAATATAATATGATCGTAACAATCTAGTGTTTTAAACGTTAAAAATCCATGTTGACTTGCATTAGGATTGTACTTGTCGCAAAGAAAACTCAGCAGTGTTACGGTCATAATATCTTGATTATTGGACGTTTTTTTATGAAATGAAATCTTTTGATGTCAAACATCATGAAAAATGAGTGTGCGAAAATTCAGTTTAATGTAACGTGTATTTCTTGAATTGTTGGCCCCAATCGAGTTTGGTTGTGGAGATCGAGACCACTATAATAGAGGGCGCGCCACATAAATAGTGGTCTCAACAACGCATCAACACAGATGCTGCACAACTGAACAAAAAGAACTACCTCGTTTCCGATGAACTACTCAAGAAATACAAAATGGATTAAATTGAAATTTGGTGCAATTAGTTTTCACGATGTGTAGCATGAGTAGTTTGAATGGCGTGAGAAACCGTGGAGCTATAAATATAATATGATCGTAACAATCAAGTGTTTTAAACGTTAAAAATCCATGTTGACTTCCATTAGGATTGTACTTGTCGCAGATAAAACCCAACAGTGTTACGGTCATAATATCTTGATTATTGGACGTTTTTTTTATGAAATTAAATCTTTTGATGTCAAACATCATGAAAAATGAGTGTGCGAAAATTCAGTTTAATGTAATGTGTATTTTTTGAATTGTTGGCCCCCACTCGAGTTTGGTTGTGGAGATCGAGACCACTATAATAGAGGGCGCGCCACATAAATAGTGGTCTCAACAACGCATCAACACAGATGCTTCACAACTGAACAAAAAGAACAACCTCGTTTCCGATGAGCTACTCAAGAAATACAAAATGGATTAAACTGAAATTTGGTGCAATTAGTTTTCACGATGTGTTGCATAAGTAGTTTGAATGGCGTGAGAAACCGTGGAGCTATAAATATAATATGATCGTAACAATCTAGTGTTTTAAACGTTAAAAATCCATGTTGACTTGCATTAGGATTGTACTTGTCGCAAAGAAAACTCAGCAGTGTTACGGTCATAATATCTTGATTATTGGACGTTTTTTTATGAAATGAAATCTTTTGATGTCAAACATCATGAAAAATGAGTGTGCGAAAATTCAGTTTAATGTAACGTGTATTTCTTGAATTGTTGGCCCCAAATCGAGTTTGGTTGTGGAGATCGAGACCACTATAATAGAGGGCGCGCCACATAAATAGTGGTCTCAACAACGCATCAACACAGATGCTGCACAAATGAACAAAAAGCACAACCTCGTTTCCGATGAACTACTCAAGAAAAACAAAATGGATTCAATTGAAATTTGGTGCAATTAGTTTTCACGATGTGTAGCATAAGTAGTTTGAATGGCGTGAGAAACCGTGGAGCTATGAATATAATATGATCGTAACAATCTAGTGTTTTAAACGTTAAAAATCCATGTTGACTTGCATTAGGATTGTACTTGTCGCAAATAAAACCCAACAGTGTTACGGTCATAATATCTTGATTATTGGACTTTTTTTATGAAATTAAATCTTTTGATGTCAAACATCATGAAAAATGAGTGTGCGAAAATTCAGTTTAATGTAATGTGTATTTTTTGAATTGTTGGCCCCAACTCGAGTTTGGTTGTGGAGATCGAGACCACTATAATAGAGGGCGCGCCACATAAATAGTGGTCTCAACAACGCATCAACACAGATGCTGCACAACTGAACAAAAAGAACAACCTCGTTTCCGATGAACTACTCAAGAAATACAAAATGGATTAAACTGAAATTTGGTGCAATTAGTTTTCACGATGTGTTGCATAAATAGTTTGAATGGCGTGAGAAACCGTGGAGCTATAAATATAATATGATCGTAACAATCTAGTGTTTTAAACGTTAAAAATCCATGTTGACTTGCATTAGGATTGTACTTGTCGCAAAGAAAACTCAGCAGTGTTACGGTCATAATATCTTGATTATTGGACGTTTTTTTATGAAATGAAATCTTTTGATGTCAAACATCATGAAAAATGTGCGAAAATTCAGTTTAATGTAACGTGTATTTCTTGAATTGTTGGCCCCAAATCGAGTTTGGTTGTGGAGATCGAGACCACTATAATAGAGGGCGCGCCACATAAATAGTGGTCTCAACAACGCATCAACACAGATGCTGCACAACTGAACAAAATGAACAACCTCGTTTCCGATGAACCACTCAAGAAATACAAAATGGATTAAATTGAAATTTGGTGCAATTAGTTTTCACGATGTATTATATTACATTCATTTTTCGGCAGTTCCTGTCAAGATTCTAGAGTTTGGTGTCAAATACCATGGCAAAATATTACAGGAAATGTCATTGCAATACAATGTGTATATCTTGAGTTCCCAATTTCACAATAACTGTGTTGACATGACGAGAAAATACGGAGTGTCCCTACGGGTGCAACAGTGTATTAAAATTCCCATAGACACTAGTGCTAAATGCCCATACTTCTAAACTCTTTTAAAAATACTCAGAACTCTCACATGTATTTAAGCTGCACACAGAAATGGTGATCGAAATGTCATCTCAGTTTTCTTTTCTTTTCAATTTTTGGTGGGTTGACCCGTTACTGTCTTTTCGTGAAATTCTTACCCAAAGAAGACGACCCCTATTTTTCCCAAAGCGGAAAAAAAGTAGCCATCTTGAAAAACGATCCCTCTACATCATGAAAAAAATAGCGCCACTTTCGAGCTCCATTGCATCCAAAGTGCTCAGAATTGGAAGTCCCAAGTCTGGGCCAGTGGTTCATTGCCATATTTTTTTTAATTCCCCAATTTTACGGCCCTCAGAACTCTCTAATATAGAATATTTTGAGGGTATAACTGCTTTTCATGAGCTCGGCGGATGGGTTTAGGCCTATTAACAGGTGTGCACCCTGACACGTCACCACTGGTGTTGCAAATGATCTAGGACAATCCAGGAGGTGTGCAAAAAAGTGTATTGATTAAAATTCCGATTCGAATGAAAGTCACTTTTAATGGGAGACAATGAATGAAGAAAACACATTCCAATATTGGATCATAATATCATAACATAAAAAGATTGTAATATATTTACGGAAACCGTGGCAAACAAAAAACATTGCGAGAATAAAAACTAGTCTATGTTACCACCATCAAATGTAATCATCAATGCCGAACCTGACATGCCCAATTAAGGTCATAACCATTGAGCTCGAAATAGAAGAAAAATAATTCCCAGTCATAATCACAAAATGTTAACTTTTTGTCACCGAGTTAATGACAAACAAAAGAGTCCCAAAGTGCAAGAGGGAACTTACGGTCTTTACAACAGGTTCGCCCTTTAGCACAGGAAGTCGTAGTCAACATGACGAGAGTAGCGCTGCAATAGCTGTGAACTGAAGGCACCCGGCGCCGCTGTTGCTGTTTTCAAGCGGATGACTGGTTTGAAAATTGGAGCGTATTTATATGGATCTTAACACAAAGCACCCACG